CCCCCCCCCACTCTCCCCCCACACACCCTCACATTCCCCCTTCATTCCTCCCCCGTTCTTTCACATTCCACCCCTGCCACCAACCCTCTCCCGACCCCCTCCGATTTCCCCCCACTCCCCTACCGTTCCTTTCTGCTCCTTGCTGTCAGTCCGTTACCGGATGCTTCAAACCGCCAGCAACCACCTACAGCCCATAACGCGTCACTTCCGGTCATACGTCCTCCCCCCCAACCCCCAAAACTCAGCACCTGTGACATCACCGCCCCAGGCCCGCCATGTCCCTCCGTGACGTCACGGGGTCGCTCTGCGCCCTCTGGCGGCCGGATTGATCCCGTTAATCCAAAATAAAATGCTGCAAACCTGGCATGAAATGGGCAGAGATAGTAGGAAGTGCAGATGCTGGAGAATCTGAGATAACTGTTATCTATGAAATGGTCAGCATTTGAGGACAGAGGCACAGAATTTGCAAATGCAATGCTCCTTTACTTTGAGTTTATTGTGGAGTCGGCGGTAAAATTGGGAGGCATTTCTACTGGGGGATGATCGAAATTTTCGGTGATTACTTTCTCAGCTTGTTACATATCCCTGCACAGATAAAATTACAGTTTTCTGGCAGCAAGGTCTGCCGTCTATCAAGCAGAACCTTCTGGGCAACAACTTCCGAGTCCAATTCATTGCAACCAGTCCTTGCACGAGGTTCCCTTATTCATTACAGTTCCATACGGCGTACCCAATCTATTCAGCTCCTGAGTGAGATGGGATGAACTGGCGCCCCTCCTTCAAGCACCACACCCCTCTGTTTGCAACAGGTTAACTTACATAAAATCCCTTGCCTTGTAGATACTTTTCTCCCAGGCCCAAATGAAGGAAAAAGATCCAATTTACTCAGCATTCCTAGAATTAGCACAAAGAGTGAATTTATTAGTTGCTGCATGCAATAAGAAATAGTTTGGTTGTTGTCACGTACCAAAATATGGTGAAAAGTGTTGTTTTGCATACTCTATAGGCAGATCATACCATACAAAGTGCATCAGGGTAGCAGAATAGAGTGCAGAATATCATGCTACAGCCGCAGCGAAGGTGCAGAGAGAGAGGGATCAGAATTAACATTTGAAAGGTCCATTCAAAAGTCTGATAACAGTAGAGAGGAAGCTGTTCTCAAATCTGTTAGCACGTGTATTCAAACTTTTATATCTTCTGCCCGATGGAGTGGGATAGGTCTTTGATTATGTTGGTTGCTTTTCCGAAGCAGTGGGAAGTACAGCTGGATGGAAGACTGCTTTGAGTGATGAACTGCGCTGTGTACATCCTTGTAGTTTCTTGCGGTCTTGGGAAAAGTAGTTGCCATACCACACCGATAGCATGCTTTATATGGTGCATCTATAAACATTCGTAAGAAATATTAACTCAACACCCACAGATTTGAAATGAGGGAAGTCTAAAAAGATTACAGCAAAAAGTGTTTACACAGGTCAGTCTCAGAATTCTTTGTGAAAAGCAGATAAAACAACATGCAGCTATTGCAGTGGAACTTACAGGTCATGTTGAAATCGGTAGTTAATAAAAAACTAAAAGGACTGTAGATGCAGATAAAACAACATTGCAGCTGTTGAAGTGGAACTTACAGGTCGTGTTGAAATTGGTAGTTAATAAAAAACTAAAAGAACTGCGGAATGGTGGAAATCAGAAACAAAAACCAAAATTGCTGGAAAAACTCAGCAGGTCTGGCAGCGTCTGCGGAGAGAAATCAGCGTTAACATTGCAGGTCCAGTGACTCTTCTTCAGAACTGATGGCAGCTAGGAAAATGTTGTTTTTTATGCAGAAGATATGGCAGAGAGAGGGGTAAGGAGATGAGGTATTTGGCCTTCCAACAGACACAACAGGGAATGAGGTGGTTTATAAAGAAATGTGGTCGATGGAGCGTAATTGCGGACACCGAGATGGTTTGAGGTGTGTATACTTCAATGCTAGAAGTATCAGAAATAAAGCGGATGAACTTAGAGCATGGGTCGGTACTTGGAACTATGATGTTGTGGCCATTACAGAAACTTGGTTAACTCAGGGAGAGGAAGGGTTGTTGGAAGTTCCGGGATTTAGATGCTTTAAAAGAAATAGGGAGGGTGGAAAAAAAGGTGGGGGAGTGGCATTGCTAGTCAGGACGAGTATAGCAGCTACTGAAAGGCAGTTCGAGAATGATATGTCTACAGAGTCAGTTTGGGTTGAGGTCAGGAACAAGAAAGGAGCAGTCACTGCATTGGGGTTTTTTTACAGACCCCCTAATAGTTACAGAGAAGTAGAGGAGCAGATTGGGAGGCAGATACTGGAAAGGTGCAGAAGTCACAGGGTTGTAGTCATGGGTGACTTCAACTTTCCAAATATTGATTGAAAACATTTTAATTGTAATAGTTTAGATGGAGCAGATTTTGTCCAGTGCGTTCAGGAAGGATTCCTGAGACAGTATGTAGATAGACCCACACGAGGAGAGGCCACTTTGGATTTGGTGCTTGGCAATGAACCAGGCCAAGTGTTAGGCCTGTTGGTAGGAGAGCATTTTGGCGGTAGCAATCATAACTCTGTTTCTTTCATGATAGTCATGGATAAGGATAGATACATACGGCAGGGTAAAGTTTACAATTGGGGGAAAGGTAATTACAATTCAGTTAGGCAAGAACTGGGTAACATAAATTTGGAACAGATGCTGTCAGGGAAGAGCACCACAGAAATGTGGAGATTGTTTAAGGAATGCATACTGCATGTGCTTGATACGTTTGTCCCTAGCAGGCAGAGAAGATGCGGTCGAGTGAGGGAGCCATGGTTCTCAAGAGAGATCGAACGACTGGTGAAGAGGAAGAAGGAGGCTTATGTAAGGTTTAGGAAAAGAGGAACGGAAAAGGCTCTAGAGGGATACAAGTTAGCCAGGAAGGAGCTGAAGAAAGGGCTCAGGAGAGCTATAAGGGGGCATGAGACAACCTTGGCGGATAGGATCAAGGAAAACTCCAAGGCTTTTTACATGTATGTGCAGAACAAGAGAATGACCAGAGAAAGGGTAGGGCCGATCAAGGATTGTAAAGGAAATTTGTGCACAGAGCCTAAAGAGATAGGAAAGGTCCTTAATGAATACTTTTCTTCAGTATTCACAACTGACAGGGACCTAGTTGTAGAGGAGGATGTTGTAAAACAGGCAGATAGGCTAGAGGAGGTTGATGTTAGTAAAGAAGATATGCTAGGAATTCTGAGGAAGTTGAAGATAGATAAGTCCCCCGGGCCTGATGGGATTTATCCAAGGATTCTATGGGAAGCGAGGGACGAGATCGCAGGGCCTTTGGCAATGATCTTTGCGTCCTCACTGTCCACGGGTATAGAGCCGGAAGATTGGCCGGAAGATTGGAAAGAGGCAAACGTCATTCCCTTGTTCAAAAGAGGGAACAGGGATAACCCTGGAAATTACAGGCCAGTTAGTCTTATGTCAGTGGTGGGCAAATTATTGGAAAGGGCTCTGAGAGACAGGATTTATGATCACTTGGAAAGGCACAGTTTGATTCATGATAGCATTGATTTGTGAGGGGTAGATCATGCCTCACAAACCTTATTGAATTCTTTGAAGAGGTGACCAAACACGTGGATGAAGGTAGAGCAGTGGATGTGGTATACATGGATTTAAGTAAGGCATTTGATAAGGTTCCCCATGGTAGGCTCATGCAGAAGGTAAGGAGGCATGGGATAGGGGGAAATGTGGCAGATTGGATTCAGAATTGGCTGACCCTTAGAAGACAAAGGGTGGTAGTGGACAGAAAATATTCAACATGGTGCTCAGTTACGAGTGGTGTACCACAAGGATCTGTTCTGGGTCCTCTTCTATTTGTGATTTTTGTAAATGATTTGGATGAAGGAGTGGAAGGGTGGATTAGCAAGTTCGCAGGCGATACGAAGATGGGTCACGTTGTGGACAGTGCGGAGAGCTGTTCTAGGTTACAAAGGGACATCGATAGGATGCAGAGCTGGGCTGAGAAGTGGCAGATGGAGTTTAACCCTGAAAAGTGTGAGGTGATTCATTTTGGAAGGACAAATTTGAAAGCAGAATACAGGCTTAACGGAAAGATTCTTGGCAGTGTGGAGAAGCAGAGGGATCTCAGGGTTCATGTCCACAGTTCCCTGAAAGCTGCCATCCAGGTGGATCGAGTTGTTAAGAAGGCGTATGGTGTGTTAGCTTTCATTAATAGAGGGATCGAGTTCAAGAGCCGTGAAATTATGATCCAGCTATACAAAAGCCTGGTTCGGCCACATCTGGAGTATTGTGTCCAGTTCTGGTCACCTCGTTACAAGAAAGATGTGGAAGCGTTAGAAAAGGTGCAGAGGAGATTTACCAGGATGTTGCCTGGAATGGAGGGAAGGTCTTAGGAGGAAAGGTTGAGAGAGCTAGGGCTTTTCTCTTTAGAACGACGATGGATGAGAGGTGACTTGATAGAGGTGTACAAAATGATCAGAGGTATAGATAGAGTAGACAGCCAGAGACTTTTCCTAGGGTGGCGGTTGCTTTTACGAGGGGACATAGTTTTAAAGTGAAAGGAGGTAGATATTGGGGATTCGTCAGAGGTAGGTTCTTTACTCAGAGAGTGGTAGGGCGTGGAATGCATTGCCGGAGAGGGTAGTGGAGTCGGCCTCATTACGGGCATTTAAGCGGCTATAAGATAGGCATATGGATGATAGTATAAGGTAGCGGTGGAGATTAGATAGACCTTAGGTTTAGGGTAAAAGTTCGGCACAACATCGTGGGCCGAAGGGCCTGTACTGTGCTGTACTGTTCTATGTTCTATGTTCTAAATGGTAGGCGGAGGTAGAACCCAACGAGAGAGAACAATAGTTTAACAGACAAAGGAGTGGATAATGGTCAGTCTAGGAGAATGAATGCCTGCTAATTAGTGGCTCAATGGGTAGTGTGTAATAGCAGATCATGTGATAACAATGATTGGTGTGTAGGGGTTGGGGTAAGGACATGAGAGAAGGTGCCTCAAACCCTAAAATTGTTGAACTTGATATTGAGTCTAGAAGGCTGTAGAGTTCCCGACGGGAAACTGAGGTGCTGGTCTTCCAGCTTATGCTGAGCTTTGCTGGAGCACTGCAGCAAGCCTGAGATAAAGAAGTTGGTTAGGGAGCAGGATGTTGCTTTAAAGTGGCAGGAAATTGGAAGCTCAGGGTCTTTTTTGTGCACA